CTCCTGCCAGGTCCCTCAGTACCGTTGAGTGGATCCCATCTGGCCCCATAGACTTGTGTGTGTCTAAGAGGTGTAGCAGGTCGGTAACCATTTCCCCTCAGATTATGGGGGCTTCATTCTGCTCCCTGTCCCTGTCTTTCAGCTCAGAGGACTGGGTACCCAGAGAACAACTGGTCTTACTATTAAAGACTGAGGCAAAGAAGGCATTAAGTACCTCAGACTTTTCCTCATCCTTTGTCATTTTTTCCCTACGCATCCAAAAAAGGACAGAGATTCTCCTTAGCCTTTCTTTTGTTGCTAATATATTTACAGAAACATTTTTTATTGTGTTTTACAGCAGTAGCCAGATTAAGTTCTAGTTGGGCTTTGGCCCTTCTAATTTTTTTTCTGCATAACCTCACAACATCCTTGTAGTCCTCCTGAGTAGCCTGCCCCTTCTTCCACAGATCATAAACTCTCCTCTTTTTCTTGAGTTCCAGCCAAAGCTCTCTGTTCAGACAGGCTGGTCTTCTTCCCCTCGGCTCATCTTTTGGCACGTGGGTGATCCTGCACCTTTAAGATTTTATTCTTGAATGTCCACCAGCCTTCCTGGACCACTTTGTCCTTCAGGACTGTCTCCCAAAGGACTCTCTCAACCAGTGTCCTAAACAGGCCAAAGTCTGCCCTCCAGCAATCTAAGGTAGCACTTCTGCTGACCCCCACCTTACTTTTCCAAGAATCAAAAACTCTTGCTTCATGATTGCTATGCTGAAGATGGCCTCCATCCACCATATCACCCACAAGTCCTTCTCTGTTCCAAACAACAGGTCCAGCAGGGCCCTTTCCCTAGTTGGGTCCCTCACCAGCTGTGTCAGGAAGTTTTCTTCCACACACTCCAGGAACCTCCTGGGCTGTTTCCTCTCTGCTGTATTATATTTCCAGCAGACATCTGGTAAGTTGAAGTCCCCCACAAGAATCCAGGCTAGCAATTGTGAGACTTCTCCCAGCTGCTTATAGAATATTTTGCCTGCACCATCATAGAATAGTTTGTGTTGGAAGGGACCTTTAAAGGTCTTCTAGCCCAACCCCCCTGCAGTGAGCAGGGACATCTTCAACTAGATCAGATTGCTCAGAGCCCCATCCAACCTGACCTTGTGCTGTGTGAACTAACCCATGATCAAAAAACCCAAAATTCTGACAGTCACACCAGGCTCAGAGCGAGGTAATGATCTGCTGGCTCTTCCTGCTTCTTCCCTCATCATTCCCTGCAACTGGAAGGACAGAGGAGAACACTATTTGTGCTTCTGGTCCCTTAACCAGTCATCCCAAGGTCCTGAAGTCTCTCTTGATTGCCCTCGGACTTCTTGTTGCAACTTGATTTCTTAAAAGATTTGTGTACTTAATGGGCATGGGCCAAGTTTTCTCAAAAAGGTCACTGGGACTGAAAGTCAGTAATTCCCTCCCACGAAGGGCAAGACAAGAGAAGGGTGGAGCTGGGACCTAGGTTCCCAGCCCTACACATGCACCTATGGTAAACAAGTACAGCACAAGGAAGTTGCAGCACAGGATGCCAGTTCCACCCATATGGATTTGTTTTATTTCTCATTATTATTTACCTGTATCACTGTATCACCTCAGAGTCCCAGCTGGACATGAACCCTATGTTGTCTCTCTCCCTGAAAGCTTACACTCCAAGGGAACTTAGCTTGTATACCATGTCAGGGATGAAGAAACTTTTGGATGGAGGTCTGGAGAGTGGCGCTCTCTGACTCATCTACCATTACTTTTTTGTCCTCTTGTGAACAAAACGCCATATTTTTCTATCATGTTGGGTGCATAACTGGTTGTATGCTGGGAAGTAAATGTATTTTGATCACACAGTAAGTGCATACCTGGTCTTACAACAGGATGTGCTCCATCAGACAATGGGCTGTGAAGCAAGTTCCACCATACACAATCGTTTATGCATATACTCCATGATGGAGGATGATTGTGCTTGGTCACATGATAGACATACATCTGGTGAGGCCAGGTCCTGAGACTCCTATCCTGTAAGACAGGATACAGTAGGTAGGTAGCTCATGGAGCAAAAGGTTAACAGTGAAACAACACTTGGGAGTATGATGGTTTCAGCCCGCTAGCAGCTGCATGTTGTCAAAGTTTTGAAGACTTTGTGTCAAAAGAGAATGTTAGAAAGGATGTGATTTATTTTCATTTATTTATTATTATATTATTTAGGCTTTTTTTAGTTTCGTGGAGAAAATGGATGTCTAAAGACTTGCAAAGCAAATCTCAGATCTAAAACACAGGAAAAGTTAAGACGTTTGGGTATAAGTTGTTTAAGTATTTGGCTATAGGAAAGGAGATTTCAAGCCACCACCTTTAGTTCTGAGCTCTTGTAAAAACTCTTACACCTTTGAGGCAGCGTTATGCTTTAGGCCATTAAGCAGTACTGTGTTTTCTCGTGATTATTTCAGGGTACTCCTTAATTATATGAAGTCCTTTCAGCCAACCCTTTTCTTTTTTTTCCCCCTACAGAAGCATACTTGACAGTCCTATACATCACCAAGACAGATGTCCATGCAGCATGAACTTTATTTATAAGGGATGGATCAGACATGAATGTCACACTTCCTTAAAAAAGTTTAAATTAAGTAATGAACTGGTGAAATACGAACAGGCCATACTATTTACATTGGACAATGCTCGCCTTCCTTCCCAAAACTTGAAGTGAATCCTCACTTTGAAACAAGGACAATGAAATATAGAAACACACTGATTTATAGCAGTTACCTTGCAAATAGCAATCTAAAAGTCTCTCAAACTTATAGAACTTATCTTTCCTGGTAAAATGAACCTAAATTGGCATAGTCATACTGATGCCTGCATTTCAAGGCCAGTACTGTAATGGACTCAGCCACCTAACAGCACTTCATCAGTATAAAATCAATGATCCTCCCATTGCTGTATCCAGCAAGGAAGGACTGCCCAAATATTAGATGTCTTCTAACAATATCTATACTCATCTTTCCTGCACCTGGACTGAGTGAAGTTAACACTGATTCTATAAAGACAAACAGGAAATTTGCAACTTGGAGAGTATTTCCAAAAAACTAGACAAAGACCGTGATCACTGACTTCACATATAGTGCGTACAAAATACCGTGATGCCTGGTGCCATTCTAGAACATGTTTTTAGATTTCCACCTGAATTCCTCAGAGATGTAGTCTCCGTTTTCTCACTCTTTTGAAGCACCTTGGCAAGAAAATATCCCCAGAAAGTGTATTGTGAGTGTTTCAGAACCATCTCATCTGCTGTCTTGAATGCACTGGGCCCAGCTTGAAGACTGCAGCCAGTGCAACAATTTAATCAGAAACCAGAAAACACCACTGTTGTGGATGTAATAAGTCCCTTGCAGGTCAGTCCCATCATTCAATCTCTTCAGTTACTCAAGGTAATCTCAGTTTCAAGTTTAAAAGTTCAGATCTCATTTTAAAATCTACTTTCTTGACTCTCTTCCTTATGCTAATAAAACCAGACATATAATTATGCTTCTACTCCAAGAGTCCTGTAAGGTAAATCTATCCAGTGTGGCACCTATTCCAAAAATTAAGGCTCCAACTGATTTACCACTATTAAAGAAATATACTTCACAAGTCTTCATATAAAAAGCCCACCTGGATCAATCAGTAGTGGTATACTACAAAACTGTAACAATTCCTGTTGCCTTGTGCCAACTATTAGATAAATAAGACTTGTAAAACAAAATCTGCTCCTAAATTTACATTTCCTATTTTTGGAATGTAAAAAAAGTTTTCTAAAACTCTTGCATGTGGCCTTTTTTTGTCATAGAAGAAGTGCAGACATTGACCTCCTTTCTGATGTAAAATTATTTCCACCATGCGGAGTAGTAAGTTTCTGCATCTTTTCCAGGAATTATGAATGACTTCCATCAGACAATTAAATTAGAAAAGTCACTTCAGTGTTTGGAAATATGAGTGTAAATTGTCTGATTAGATATCATGCTAATAAACAATGGAAAACAGTCCTGTTTCTGTTCAGAAAGCAGAGCCTCTCAAAAGTGATTTCATGAGATGGTGGCAATTAGTCTCTTGTATCATTCAGGAAATGTGTCTCTTTTCAATTAAATATGTCGTCCTGTCAGGAAGAAAAGTGGTCTGTCCTCTTTCGCATTGGCAGTCTGGAATTCATCCCGCAGTCGGAACTGCCATTCGTCTTCTAGCTCTAGCCGGACAACAGTCTGGCGAAGAGAATTGCGATCTTGACAAATCACGCACAGGGTGGCACCTAAGCAAACAGTTAAAAAGAAACCCACGTGAGTATCGCCTTTGTTCTCAGGTCGCCCAGCTCCACCACCCCTTAGCATGTAAAACTCCACCACTTTCACAACAGCAGTTGTGGGCTTGGGAGAAAATTAAGACGCTCGTGTAGGATTAAGGAGAGCTATGATCAGCTCCCTATTTATCAGGATCTTCTTGTGTATTTTGAGGTTTCTGGTATTCGTCTCGTAATCAGGGCTAACAATACATTCCCTGCTCTTTAGGGTAAGGAAGGGTAAAACCGTCAGGTCTAAGGTGATGGGCCCTGGCAGAAAACAACATAACGCCCATTAGTGTTCTATCCTTACCAATCATTACCTTGTGGAGTGAAACTCTCACTCCGCAAGACTTACAAGGCAATCACCATGATGGCTGACTAAGCTCTTAGTGCTTTGCTGACCAGAAATGGTCTAAACATGTCCTTAAAACTAATCACAAACTTTAGTGCTTTTCAGATTGGTAAGCTAATGTGCTGGCAAAGAAGAACCTGGTCTGTTTGGCTATGGACACAGGCGAATGCAGAATGCCAAAGTCAGAAATACTACGTTTTAGTAAACAATATCAACTGCCTTGACTGGCATGCTGATACCATTTTAACTTGCATGCATGATTTCCTGGCTTCTGAGAAAATTAAGAGGAAATAATTACCTCGCCAGCATTCAATAACCTGAACGAGAGATGGTGAGGTAAGTGGAAATGCCCCAGACCAAAAAAAAAGTTGAGAATATAATAAAAATAAACAAGACAGACACTCATGTGGTGTTTAATGCTCATGTGGCGGGTTAGAAAGTCAAGTAGACTGCCGAAGGAGATGGAGAAGTCACGAATCAAATACACTTTGTGTTGCATGCTATAAAAATTGCCTGGTTTATGCAAAATGAAACTGATTGATAGCCTCTGGTCACTCAAAAAATGCAGGACAAAAGCACTGCTGTCATTTGCAGTTACTCTGATAGCCTTGCTAGGGAAACTATAGGCTGAGTAAAATGTGGACGCTGCTCCAGAATGAGCGTAAGACACCGGCACTCATGTGGCTTCAGTGGCACGTGCAGGTAAAAGCACTGTATACCCTAATTTACACTTTGCTACCCATACCTACAATGTGGCTTCAGTGGCACGTGCAGGTAAAAGCGCTGTATACCCTAATTTGCACTTTGCTACCCATACCTACGTGAAACTGTATTAACTGCATCAAAGAACACAGCGGTTCATAACAACTCTGCCAGTTTCAAGATGGCATCTGCCACAGTGTTCTTCCTCCAGTGACAGTTATAGCTGCGAGTGAAGCAAATCCCCAGAGCACTAAATGCCTAAGACAGTAGCAGAACAATCCAAAAGACGTTTGCAATGTGACTGCCTGCAATACAAACGGAAGTTATTTGTCTCCACTGCTATCCACCATCATAGGGACTACATAGAGAAACTGGTTATGGGGAATAAATTTTAAATAAGCCAGTTTCTGTTTCCAAGGATAGTAAATAGATTTTGATGGAGGCTTTTCCATCACCCGTTTTCTACCAAAAATTAGAGAACCTGCAAGAACACAATAGGTAAATGCTTCATACATAAATCTTAAATACTCAGTTTTCAGACATAAAGTAAGGAAGTAATGCATATACAGTAGGCATAATGATATAGATCCAACATTTCTCCCCACTTAGAAATCTGTAGAATTTATAGCACTTATACACCAGTTTACTACAGCACAGAGCCAGCATGATCAAGCATCAAAGGTGTGTGAGACGTATAAAGACAAATATGAATACATGCATGTATGTGCATGTATATTTTCATATAAAACACATTTTTCCCCAGGTTCCCAAAGACCAGGTCATATAATTCTCTGTAATAAAATTATTGCAGCTCACCTTTAAGAAAATGAAACTTCTTCAAAAAGCTAGCTACAACAAAGGAGTCACAGAGGTATAGCAGTAGACCACTGAATGTCAAACCGGAGGAGCTGATATTCAGAGAGTGAGGCCGAGAACTCATATAGCAAACTGCAATCTGATTGGGAGAGGGAGAAAAAAATTAAGATTTTTCAAGCTTCTGTATAAAGCTAAGGCTTGATATTAAGCTTTCAGTATTTGCACCTGATTCAAATTCAGACTTGCTTTCCAATTCTAAATACTGTGACCTTTGTAGTTCCTTCCTAAACACCCCTCTACTTATAAAAAAATCTACATAAAAGCACTATTCGTAACTATGTATTAGGCGTTACTATTCATTACTATTATTATCATGAGCTTTAGATGTGACAGGGTTTGAAAGCTGCAGTAACAATAGGTCCCCACAACCATATTGCTGTGACCTGCCCAGCACAGTTTATCTACACGTGAGTAAATATAGTAGCTGTTCAGTTGGACATGAAAAGAACCCTTTAGAAATGCCTAATTTCATTTACGTTACGATAGAATTACTGAAATCAGTAGAGTTGTGCATATACATAAATGCCGAGGTTTCCTCTTGTCCAGTTTGGTTTGATGGCTACTCTTCAAATCCACTAGGAACCGGGAATATTTATAGCACTCTTTCAGGATTTATAAATTTAAATTAAGGAATCTTCCACACAAGGCTTGGTTTCCAGAGTGCCATTCTACTACTTAGTTAGGGCAGGACATCACCTGGCATAAATCACCATGATTCAGTGGAGGAAGGTTGACCCACAGCAGCTGAGACTCTGGCCTAGGATGCTTATATTTATCCACATTCCTTCATTCCTAGTGTGTCATATTGCAGCTCAGGTAACAATTCCAGAAGCAAACTGAACTTATTTCACGTGCTGAATAGGTTAGAGCTGAAAGGATGCGATGGATGAAGACAGTAACAGTACAATGCCTGTCCACAGAGTTTGTTTTTCCAAACACGGTGGGAACATAGACCTGTAAAGAGCTCGGCCAGAAAGGAATTTAAAGATACAGTTCAAAATGTTCTGGGAGCAGCATATATGGGAAGGTCATTACACAGCTGTTTCGGTAAAGATGTTTAGTAAATTCAGCAAGACTGAATTTCATTTAGTATTCAAGTCAGGTGAAAAGGTAAAAACAGTTTCTCTCTCCCGAACACCACCACCTTAGTATCAGACTTCTATCCAACCTACATTTGAGTTTAAGTATGGCCTTGCCTTTAGACCTGAAGTCATCAGAGAGAGCCAACAGCTCCTGAGATCTGATGTCAGCTTCTCCTATTCCGACTGTTTCTTTGGTATTTACTTCTCTGCCTCAGCTTATCAGTAAAAAGTGAACTAAAACATTTGTATTCTGAAGTGCTTTCTAAGGGCTAGTATTTGTAAAATACTTTTGTAGAAGAAATTTGCAGTAGGAAGGGACAAATTATAGTAGATTGAGAAAACACTTCTTAAAGAAAAATGTGCTCTGTGTTAATTAAGAACCTAGTATAATTCACAAACTACCTTAGTATTTAGGACACTCTGGTATAGTTCTCCATGTATTTTATCTGAAGCCTTTAACAATATCTCTATGGGACTAAGAATTTGATTTTAACATTATAGAGATCTAATACCTGATTCTTCAAAGGTTGTGTAACTGTTATTAAGGAATGCATCAACACTCATCCAAAACATAGCCTAGATACTTCTAGAGCTTCTTGAAGATTATTTTGTTCAGTACCTGTGGTCCTAAGTTAAGGTAACAGTCCACAGATAGCACTGGATGGCTATAATTCTTCAGGGAGAGAGGGAAGAAGCGATGGCTGTGATACTGGAGGTATTTTTCAAGGAGCAACTGAGCAGGTGCTGCCAAGAAGGTATGCTTGCTGTCAGGAGCACAAATGTACTGAGCAGGGGAGATTGAAACTGGAGTGTCAGATACCTAGGAGGAAAAAATATTGCTAGTACAGATCAATCCTGATCAATCAAGTTGTACTTACTTGGTTTGTATAAAATAAATCTCTACCCTACAAATCTAAGATTTATATAAGAAGCAAAACCATTCAGCCAAAAATATTTGCTACTAAAAAGGTTTCAGACTTTCACAGAGTTGTATTTGTATTTATAGAGTCTTTGAGGTTTCTTCTCTGAACCTAAAGTATTCCTATATATAAAGTCATATGAAGATGAGCTTATTCAATAGCTATAAATAAAAAACTCATAGTGAATGGTTACTTGGATTGTAAAGAGACACTTTAAGTGTTTTTAAAATTTTTAAAGGAAAAAGATTAAGGAAAGGTGCATTTATGCCAAGAATATTGTGGATTTCAGAAATAAATAACAAAAAACCCAAATACATAGCAGACACACCCCACTACTGGCAAGTGGTGATGCACCAAAATACTTCAGTTCTCCTGGTTACAGAGTACAAAAAAGGAAAACAATTATAACAGCAATGAAACAGAGGCCTCAGTTCCCACCTTAGACTTAATGTGGAAGGATCGCTGTCCTCCTACTGCAATTTGCTTTTTCATGACACTGAAGTGATTGAACCGACAGATGAGAAGGCCAGCACTGTGGACGCGCAAGTTGAAGTCAACATCATCACACGTAAATCTGGAAAGAATAAAAGCGTAGGAGTTCAGAGGAATGTTTCTCATCACACACCAACACAAGCACTCAGGGTCTTTGATGGGCACTGTAGAAAGGACAGGTGTCAAACACACTGACCCTCCACCAGCGCCCACCAGTCAGGCAAAGAGGCTTCCGCTTTGTAATAATAAACGAGGCTAGAATGAGTTCGAGAAGATCAGAATGAGGGAAAGAACCACTTAGGGAGGAAAAGGACCAGAAACACAGAGGAAAGGGGAAGGAGAAAGGTAGTAAATTGCCAGGGAAAAGACCTCGGAGTTAAAATATTTTCTTTGCATTTTACTGCAATAATGCGGTCACAGAAAATAGCTACATATGTTCCTACCCCAAAAAAGGTCAAGGAAATTAATTCCTTTGACTTCTGTCCTGGTTTCAGCCAGGATAGAGCTGGTTTTCTTCACAGAAGCCAGTGTAAGACTGTGTTTTGGATTTGGGATGAGAAAATGTTGATAATGTGCTGATGTTTTGGGTTGCTGCTGAGCAGCCAAGGACAGTCCAGCTTCTTGTGCTGGCCTGCCAGCGAGCAGGTGGGGGTGCGCGGGGAGCTGGGAGGGGACACAGCCGGGACAGCTGACCCAGGCTGGCCACAGGGATATTCCATACCATATGGCATCATGCCCAGTACATAAACTGGAGTTGGCCGGGGGGTGGGAATCGCTGCTCGGGGACGGGCTGTCGATCACGGGGTGGTGAGCAATTGCTGTATTGGGCATCACTTGTTCTTGTACATTCCTTTGTTGGTATTATCATTGTTGTTCCCTTCTTTCTTTCTGTCCTATTAAACTGTGTTTATCTCAACCCACGAGGTTTTTTTTCCTAATTCTCTCTCCCCCATCCCACTGTGGGAGGGGGAGTGAGTGAGCGGCTGCGTGGTGCTTAGTTGCCGGCTGGGGCTAAACCACGACAACTTCCAAGGAAACGGATGAAGCCCTACATTTTATTTGTCAAATACACAGAGGTCTCCAGCTACTCATTTTTCCCTTAGAATACAAAAATCCAGAGAATTTTTCAATGTTCCTCTACAGAAATAATGTCATTTTACATTAGAGACAAAAACTATTTGAAGGCAGAGTCTTTTCTTAATCCAGAACTGCTGAGAGATAGGAATACATAGAGCAGAATGAGGCCAAACATCCCTGAGCTAAATTTGACCCATTTTAAAAATAAGATGGAATGGAACAGAATAAAAGGTAAACTTCTAAAGCTGACTAAATTCAAATACTCTTTGGAAAATTCAGACTCAGTTCTCCATTTTGAATGTATATATTACACAGCAAACAGGATGATGTGCAGAACTGTTGGATTAACATCTGGGTCTTGGATTTAATAGAGCTGAGCAATTACTGCAACACTCGACATCAGTGGGAAACATGGCATTTAATTATAGGTTTTTAAAATCTTGTCTTTGATCTTAGTAATATTTACATGGATATTTGGTATCCCTGACTGTCAGTGTCTCTGTGTTTTAAAATGTACCTTTTTCCTTGCCAGCCCAGGCTCGGACTGTCATACAATACTGCAGGCTCAACAGCACCCACGCAGGATTACGGTGAGCCACCCGTGCTTTAAAGACGCAGGCAGGAAATGCGTGGTGTGACCTGGCACTCCTGCCATTTTAACACTGCTGCCTGTACTCATGTCATTTTCCTTTATTGTCGTTCTCTTCATGGGCCCTTCGTAATGCTTCATAAGGTAATACAGTTAGACAGCCTGGGAGCACAGTTCCGTACTAGGAGATGCACGGGAGCAAGTTTAAAATGCTCTTTTAATGCGTCAGGCTGGCGACAATAGAAATTTATGTCATCTGTTTATCCACAGAATAACGAAAGCAGAAGTGCTTCCCTGCAGTTATAAGTAAACTTGGGCTTCAGGAGACCTGTTCCAGAGACAGGAGAGTTCTTCTGAGAAGTATAGTGACTGATGCTCTGTTATCCAAGTCTATGTGGGCCGTTTTAGAGCCATTTTAGATTACCTGGGGTATCCCAGCTAGCTTACAGAAAAACACGTGCAGATTCCATACCTGTCAGCCCCATATGGACATCTTGCACATTCTGAGGTGCCTAAAGACTGGCTTTAGACAAGTGAATCCCACCACTAGCGATATCTACTTCATTCTGTTGTAATAAATGCTTGTCCCTCAGAAATAGGGCCAAACCCACAGTTTATTTCACATAGATCAGTGAAATTCTGTGAGATGACGTAGGGGGACCAATACTGCAGGGCACACTGCCGAATGTGTCCACCCTGGAATTCAGATAGGACTGTTTTATTTGGAACTATGTAATTAATGTCTTTTTCCAACTTCTGGCAATTTGGGAAGGATTTGAACCATCAGTAACAAAACAAAATCTATCTGCATCCCATTAACAACCTCCCCAAAAAATCAAGATCTTTTGTGAAACTTCCTTTATTTGTTTCATTATTTCTATTGAAAGATGCTACTGATTCACTTACCTGTTCTGATTGTACTGTACATTCTGCGTCAGATCCACATTCAGCATAATGAAATCATGCACATGGCAGCAGGAGAATGGTTCCTTGATCTCAGCACTGTTTGTTTTACTGGACCATTTCCTCATCCCAATTAAGGCATAGTGAGTGACGTTGGGAGTTGCTTCAATATGTTGCAGAATTTGCTTCAAGGAAACGTTCCTTTCAGTCCACGTATAGTCACTACAATAATTAGGAAAATGTGTTAATTTTAAGGTATATAGAGAATATTCAGAATCTCATTCAGCTGAAGAGCAATTCTTAACAGTTGAAAGTAGTTATGAGTATCAGGTATAGATAATTTCAGTGTTGTCTTACTTTACGGCAATGTTTCGTCAATCACTCTAAATAAAAAATAAAATCAACTAGTGCTTATGTGGTGGGGACTGGTATGACAGGTCTGCAACTTAGTCTGGATTGTTCAAAATATTCACTTAGACATGTAACCTTTTAAAGGTAAATAAAGGCATTACATGGGTAATCTTTCCAAATGGCTCTAGGAGGGTTGCTGACTTAGTGCCATAACTTAAGTGCAAAGTATAAGATTCTCCTAGCCCACCCCTACAGACCATAAATCTCAGTTTTCACTGAGTTTAGTTCTCTTTGAAGGTTTACTGTAAATCCTGCATAGCACCGTTCTGGGAATAGATAAAATATCTAGTACAAACAGTGTTCTAAAGTAATGTAAACAAAAATAGTTGTTTGGCTATTTGGGGAGCTAATAAAGGAGCCATACAGACTGGGACTGACAAAAGAGCCAGAGGAAATCAGTTGCACATTTTGCACAGAAATGTCTTTTAGCTTCCTTAGAAAAATCCTGTTTAAAATGTTGATGTGAATGCCCATGCTTGCCCAATGTATTTGAGGTTGTTTGCAGAGTCTGAAATCTGCAGTCCAAGTAGCTCTAGTTCGAACTGGAGTCAAGGTATGCAGCAAAGTCTGCAGGGCACTTAAATCCTGAGGGGACAGGAATGAAGAACAGGCACTAAACTATGTGCTATGCACAGGCAGATATCTAGGGAAAATACTTGTCTCGTTGGGCAAATATTATTCTCTGCTTGTACAGGGTAAAAGTTGTAGTATATCAAACGAAATTTCAAAACTGATATGCAGTGAAAGGTTAAAAAAGCTGAAAAAGCACCTATTACTCTGTTTACCTTTTCCTGTCTCCCGAGCAATCAACTTCTACTGCGTTCCACATAACACCGGAGTCATCTGAAATGACAATGAAAGGCCAAATATCCTGGGGTTTTATCCCCAGCTCCTCCTGCCGGTTTCGTTCAAGCTCCAAGTTATGGTACGACAACTCTTTTATCAGGAAGTGTGCAGCACCTGAAACCAAGGACATGAACCATCAGATTAAAAGAAGGGGCAGAAATTGTTTGCTTTTAACTTGGAAGCCTTTTGAAGTGAATATTTCTGCAGATCGGGATAAGAATCACTCTGAAGGTTTTAACAACCTAACGCTCCCCAGAGCCAACCTACTTTGTCACTTGCCTACCAAGTGACTTACAGGACCCCACCGGGAAGCACAGAAAATGAAGCCTGACTTCTGTGGTAAAGATTTGCTAGCGTCTTAAGGGTTTAGTGACTGTTTCTTTTAACCTGACAGATACTTGGCTGCACTGGCATCTCTTAGTGCAAACACCTAGAGATGTTGACTGACCAGCTGAATAACGTGGAACAATTTCCCCTGACTACTTTGAATGTTTGTCACTACTGCTGTCTATAAGTAATTCTAGCAGTAAAAGCAAGGTGCTGAATATGTCACAGGTATTATTAGCAGAACCTACCTAACCAACGTAGCTAATCAGTGCATCACTGCCTATGCAAACAGTATATAACTTATTTCCACAAGGAAACACAGTAGGTAACTCCATCTGAGTTAACACCCTCAGCTCCCTTTAAAATCAATAGAGGAGAGTAAGTATTTCTAGGGTGCAATTCATCTAGATTGTTTTAGATGACCTAGATTAAATGAATTGCATCTTCAGCTGTGACACATTTTCTTCAAAGAGAATCCAGATCACCAGATCAGATATGCTAGCTACAAGGTGTGTGTCTACATTTCACTGTTGAGAAACAACTCAAGGGACCAAGTCATGTGCCCACATTTGTTAGAAGTTTTTGTTATACTTACCTACTCCTGCACTGTTGAAAATGCTTGGAAGAACAAGCATGATGTGGTTGGGCCAATACTTCTTATATATGGCCATTTCATACTCCTTGACAACTAAAACGTGCAAATGACTGGCTCCATCCATTGCATGATATAAATTGAAAAGTCCATGCTCATGACGACCAGTGGTGGGAGTAAAAGTGGGGCTTTTTATGTAATCTTCACTCTGTAAATAAAAAGAAGTGTGAGTTTCTGTATTAAGCTGGAGGATGTTTAAACAAAGAGAACCAGATCCTTCAGGAGCATAAATCAGATTCATTGCCTCTGGACAAACTGCTACATTTTAAATCAGCTTAATAGGAAAATAGGCAACTTTTATAGGAGTTGGGAAAAAGAAAACTCTATCACTTAGCTTATTTGACTGGTGATAGTGTGGTAGACTGGATAGGACTTCTAACCTTGACCTGCCAAGTGCACAGTGACCTTGAGGCTAGATCTGGAAAAGGATTTAGGTCCATGTGATATAAGATGGTAAGATACACCTTACTCCAAAACTGCAGTACAACCCTTCTGACTGTCTATCATCCAATCTTGAATGCACTGAAACCCACTAGGTGCTTCCAAGTTTGGTAGTACAGGTTCCGAAAGCCCTGTTTCTATAGACATCCAGGACTGTTCCAGTCTGGGCAACTGATTTTAGCCTGGTTCCTACCAAGGTCGTTAAGGACCCAGCATGACTTTCCAAAGCCCACATAATTAAGGACTCTGGATTTAAAACTGCCAAAGCACAAAATGGTGGATAAGATGCCACTGGAGTTCATGCAACAGAATTTAAAGTGGATCAAGAAAAATATTTTACAATGGTTTAATAATCTGAGTTTATATCCCACAGCAACTTTCCAAGCTTGCAGCATACAGGCACCATTTTGGAGCAAGCGAACAGAAAAAGCAGCAAAGGAAGAATAAATGGTTTTGGCAAAGCCTCAGAGCAGGTCTGTGGCAGAAGCATGAAAAGGATCCACGGGGACCCAGTGCACAGTTCTGACTGCATAGTCAAGCGCAAGTTTACTGGGTGAGGAAGAGCAGGAGGTTTCATCCTCACGTTGCACAGTTGCTGCTGTGTTGGTTCCTGGGTTCTCCCATTTCAAACTTGAATTGGACATAAAAGCCTGAACTGGAGGGTGGTATTGATTGATTACTGTTTATTGGAAGCAACTTATTTTCTCCAGGATAGAAATGCTACCGCTCAGTACTGTTCCACAAATTGCTTCAATACTCCAAGCAGTGTGTCCTGAGCAAGGCACAGCCTCACCTTAGACATGGATATTAGGAGTCACTGTAAAGACCAACATGAGAGTTTGAATTGGACATAAAAGCCTGAACTGGAGGGTGGTATTGATTGATTACTGTTTATTGGAAGCAACTTATTTTCTCCAGGATAGAAATGCTACCGCTCAGTACTGTTCCACAAATTGCTTCAATACTCCAAGCAGTGTGTCCTGAGCAAGGCACAGCCTCACCTTAGGTATAGGTGATATTAGGAGTCACTGTAAAGGCCAACATGAGAGTTTGCATAGCCTGTCAGATGGATGACCTTACAAAGGGTTTTCTACAAGCGTGACGTGTGATTTTTGGACAGTCTTGAAGCCAGTCGAAGATTCTTTGAAACCCTCATTTTTATATGAAAGCAACTGAGCATTTATGCAGAATCAGACAGGATAATCAACTGCCGCCTTCTACATGACGTGTGATTTTTGGACAGTCTTGAAGCCATGTCGAAGATTCTTTGAAACCCTTATTTTTATATGAAAGCAACAGAGCATTTATGCAGAATCAGACAGGATAATCAACTGCCTGCTTCTATGGTAAAAAATTGCTTCCTCTTGGTAAGAGAAACAAAACCATGTCTCTGAGGCTCATTGCTGAAACCATTCTCACTTTGACATCTTAAACCCATAACCAAAGACCTTTTTCCACCCATAACCAAAGACCTTTTTCCCTGGATAAGAGTGTTTATACCACAGAATCAACCTTGATACTGAGCAAAAGAAACAGCTTATTGGTGGCTTGCCAGTTTTTCTTCATATCTCCCTTTCTGGGAGAAAATACAAGCTTGCGATCAGGATATCTTCATTATCTCTTGACAGCAGGACCAGAAGTATAAAGAATCCTAATTCAACAGATTTTAAAATTGGTGGTGACTCTCTCCCATATACGGCCATAAACATAATTATCCATCTACCTTATCTGTGACTAGTGGTAGCCTCATGCTTTCCAATTGTCTTCCTGGTTGGCTAAAGACAAAATGATGCTCCTTTGACTTTGGAATGATAAAATGCAGCTGGATCTCTTCTCCTAGCATAGAATAGGAAAAGGCAAATGCATGCAGAGTGGACTCGTAAAGCTGAGGATGGGGAAAAAATAGGATAATTCCAGTGGTTAGAGTCAAACTACAAGGTCTCAGTGTAGTTAATACACATTTATAACAATACCAGACTACACTCATTTAGTGTATCGCATTAGATTTTACCTCATGATTCACTAGGTGTTAAGCAATGCCCCCTAGGCTAGAGCATACACTAAAAAAAAAAAAATAAAATTAACCTGTTCCCTCTTTTGAAACCATTGTTTCAGCTTTGTCTTGCAGATGGTACCAATACTTACAGGCCACTCTTGGCTTTCAGAAATAGAGACACACAAAACCCAGTATTTGCATTGCAAATACCTTCTTTCTCACATTCTAATGGGCACAAAATTGGAGGGTTACTCTGAGTAATAACGGTCTGTATGCCACATATAGGCTACTCTGTGCTAGATTACTCCTGTGTCAGAAGTAGCATCTTTTGCAGTTACTCAGGTGAAAATGTAAGCAAGTCCCAATAGGAAAAGTTTACTGGGAAAGTAGTTTTTACTGGTAGTAAAATGTAGAATGCAGATTACAGCACTGAATAAGGTACTGTAAATGAGGCAAGGCTGAGTCCTCTCACGTCCCCCAAACTCTGGTCAAGGCAGTCAAACCTCAAGAAATAACAAAATTTGTACATCTGCTGTTTTTAACACATACATACAACTTCTAAGCCGATTCAAATACAGTGAAAGTACACAAAACTGTGTTTGGATTGTGTCTGCTTCAGTTTCTGATCTGCAGAGTAGTATCTGGAAATCTTTACCTGGTATCTGGGATTGAAACCCATATACTGATGACACTGTTCACAGTGATGGTAGGTGTTATATGCTGCGTACTTGGACAACCTCATCCTAGTTGTTTGACGACGTGTATACATATCCTCCTGTCTCCTGCTCATTGATTTGTCTATTAAAAAAAGAAACAACTTAAATGTAACATATATTCAAGGCCAGAATGTATTCCCTTGTGACAAACTATTTCTGTCACTGTAATTAACTTCTAGGAACAACGGCAGGATTAAACACATGCAAAACAAACTATGAATTAATTCTGAGGATAGTGTGCTTTATAAATTGTTACATACAGCAAAGGGGACTACAAAGAAGTATCTGCAAATTCATGATTATGATAATTCTGTACAGATTTCACATAAGGCTGAGGTGTAAACAAATCCAGATTATTAAAATCATTATTGTTGCTGTTGTTGTTTTTATTAGGTCAATGCTTGCAAAAGTAATAAATAGCAAAAAAGAGTCTTATGACAGACATTTGCTGTCCCGTGATGGACATCACAGTAGATTACGTAAAATAAACTTGGCAAATTTAGTGATGTTGCTCTTCAGTGAATATCCACGTTTTAAAAAAGGGTCTCCTTTGTGGGAGACTGAAGGGAGATGAGATGTAATTTCTGTGGAAAAGGACTTGTGTTATGGCATGTGGCCAAACCTTTTACTCAGATTTTCAGCATCAGATCAGGTCATTGAAGGTTGCTCCTTGTCCTGTCAAGTTCTGAAAATCACTGAGTGGAGTTTTCACAGTCTCTCTCTGCTCCATGGTTTGGCCATTTTTATTCCGGAAATATTTTTCATACTATCTAATTGTAATTTCCCATGTTTCAATTTGTGTCTGTTGTTTCTTGTCCTTATGCTGCGTATCTATAATTGTTTGTGTCTATAAATTCCCATTAGGAAGTTGAAGACAGCAATCAGATGCCCCTGCTAGACTTCTGCAGACCAAACAAACCCAATTCTCTTCAATTTTCTCTGTACATCATGTGCTTTGGGCCTCTATCCATCTTGGTGGCTACCCATTAGACTCACTTCTGTATGTCGATGTCTGTCTTGTACTGGGAAGCCAAAAACTTGACAGAATACTCCAGATGTGGTCTTACAGGTGCCGTGCATATAAGAATAATCACTTCCCTTGACCTGCTTACTAGATTTTTAGTAAACCATTAACCCAATGGAGAACCGGTGATTCATGTTCAAATTGTTGTCTACCAGGATCATCAGGTCGCCTTCTTCAAAGTTGCTGCCTATACAGTTGGCCTCAAGCTTGTACAGCTGCAAAAAATTATTCCATCCCAAATGCAAGGTCTTGCATTTACCTTGTTGAACTATATCAGGTTCCTGTTCCTGAGGTTCCTTCCTGGAGGTTCCATTTCTCCAGCCTGTCAAGGTCTTTCTGAATGGCAGTGCTACCTTCCTGCATATTGACTACTCCCCCAATTTGGTATCATCCAGGAACTTGCTGGCATTGCATTCTGTCCCTTATTAATGGCAATCTTAAACAGTATTTGCCTCACTATCAGTCTCTGAGTATTGCCATGCGTACCCAGCTGTCGGTCAGATTTGTGCCACTCATCACATCTTGAGTTCAGTGGTCCAAGCAATTTCCCAGGCACTTTACAATTCACCTATCCAAACCATCTCTCCCCAGTTTTGGTGATATGGATATCATGGAACAGAGTAACAAAAGCCTTGCTGAAGTCAAGATAAAACCACTGCTCTTCCTTTGTCCATAGTGCCAGTCGTCTTATCATAAATGCAATCACGTTTACCGATCAAGATTTGCCTATGATAGATCCATTCTAGCTGCTCCCAATCACTTTTCTGTCCTTCATGGGTCTGGACATGGCTTACAGGAGAGTTTGTTCCAAAATCGTTTTGAGGACTGAGGGTAGGCTGACTAGGCTGTAATTGCTTCGGTTCTCCTTCTGTCCTGTAGAGGAAGGACATAGCATTTTCCTTTCTCCGATCATCAGAAGCCTCCACCAATTGTTGTTACCTTTTAAAAATGATAGACAGTAGCCTCACAGTGATGTTGTCCAGCTCCCTCAGCATTCTTGGATACATCCTACCCAGTCCCATGGGCCTGTGTACATCCAGCTGGCTAATTCAAAGTACTAATTCACACCTCGATACTCCAGGAATCTAGATCTGGACAGATGTAGTTCACGCTTTCCAAACCTAAACCAATACCTAAAAAATAAACCTATGAACACTTTTAAGTACATAAATAAATTTACCTACATAAGTCACTTCATTGCTACAGAGCAGGACAATGCTACTACATAAAAACATTCAAATCACAAACCTATTGTGGAATCAGAGCTTTTTAAATGAAAGACTATCTAAATATTGTTCCATAAAACATTTATAACATTTATCTGGAGCTTCATCTAGCAAACTTCAAATCTTTTTTCTCTGTTACTTAGTCAAGGGCGATTCTGATAATTTCGCTCTGTTTAAAAGTTTAATAGTATTCTCACGTTAAAAGCAGAAAAATACATATATGTGTACCAATCTAGATTTTCCAAATTCTAACCTTCACTGTTTATAGTCTGAAGCTTTGAACAAATCAGACTTGCATCTTCATATTTCGGGTCATGGATAGTGTAGTCAAAAGGCATCTTCTTAAATGTCTCCAAATCTGGCCACATGTCTCCAGGCTGATGGTAGTATTGATCAGAGTCTTCTTTTATGTCTATGATATCATTGAAAAATAGGAATTCATGTATTTACAATTTTTAAAGCTCCTTATATTGCTATAGATGGTTTTGCTATGCCTGTTATTCCTACATCGTTTTTTCTTTCATCATTCTGAGGAAGCATATTATTATACATCAAGAAGTGCACTTCATACCTCAATGCAATTCTGGCTTTTAAACCTTTGTTATCAGTTTAAGACCTCTGTAATCTTACTGGAGCAGTTGGTGGGATAATGATGAAAACAATGTCAAGGGTCTGGTAAGGCTGATCTACCTGCATCCAGGCATTTGGAGTCTTTTCATTGACCTCCACATTTGTGAACTCAGTTGAGGAAAGAGATGTTATTCTCACTGAGGAGAAGCAGCCCTTTTAAAGCTTCAGAAATTGCAGTATTAAGTGGAGAGTTAAAGTCAAATGCCCCTTCTAGTGATAAGACCACAGTAATCAAATATAATTTGCCCTAGGGTAAGAGCAAAATAATAAATGGTATTGGTATAATGTGCAGTGAAATCGTTTTTGCTTTTTCTGAAACGGGTTAAGCGGCATAAAAACCCAGATGTACACAAGTTCTCACAAAATACTTTTCTACCTTTGTCAGGAGGATGAAAGATCTGACAACAGTAAAATGGACAGTAGTGAGGAGTTCCGTTTGGGGGTCAGCTGTAAGCTGCTGTAAAAAGCCATAATTCCATGTCTCTACATATAGACTAAATTATTATTTATATAATAGGTGAGACCCTGTCTTTTGGCACCCAAAGTAAATATGACACTCAGGTGGAATTAATCAGATGGTGAAGTTATCTTCCTGCCCTGACTGTGAGTTACCTCTAAAATCCTGCCTAAAATGTAAAGGATTGCTTACACGCACCTCTCCCCTCTAGCAGACTGGTCACCTTTTCCACAGGTTTTACCCTAAACTTTGGGGGACAGTTGCCTCTTTCTCAAGCACAGCTCAGTGTGGAGGAAGACTCCTGGGTACTGCCCCAAAAAGCCGCGAGACACAAGAGCTGAGGCGCAGTCCCACAGTAAAACGACCGAAGAGCTTCCAGCCAGGGTCTGACGGAGGCAGCTAGCAGGCAGGTAGCACCCACCTGAGACTCTCCGCGGCTTTTAGTGCAGAATTAGACATATCCCATAACATATCACCCATGTTTGTCTATGTAAACCAACCCTTAATTACAGAAATATATCTGGAAACACAGGGGAGTAATACCCTGTAAATAAAGGAAGTCTGGACTAAAATTAGCCTTTAGAGAGCAGGAACTGCTTTCCTCCCTCATGTAGTCTTACGTACTTAGAAAATATGACATTGCTCCTCATGGTACAGATCTGCCAAAATGTCACAGATTCTTTTTCTATGCTTTACCACAAAAGTTCATTCCAATTCTAAACTCAAAAACAATGGCTGGATATCATTTAAAATGCATAAATGCTGTTGATTACTTCCCAAGAAAAACAGACATATGTGGTTTTCTTACTGAGAGGGAGACTAAACTCCAAATGATGAGTAAAATAATAAAATAGTCTTAAGTATCAGTTGAAGATCACACAAAAATTTTCTTAAAATATTTCAATAATGTAAATTAGTTGCAAAGGTGAATGGCATAGAACATACGGACAACTACTTTTCAATTTAACATAACAACTTTCTACAATCTCCAGAAGCAAATATATTTATATCAAGAACTTACTAATGTTGATTTCTTCCTCATCATAAACATCCACTTCTGTCAGTCTAATCAGCATTCGGGACAAAATACTGAGGAACTGCAGATAGGCACCTGTTTTCCCTATCTGTAAATAGATAAATCAGAAAATACAAAAGTAAACTTTCCTTTTTCAACATGTTACTTTTCCACATATCTGGAAATTGCAGCTGCAGTGAAACTGAATATTAATATTCAGCGCTTGCATATCCCTGTCTTGGTACATGCCTTGGCATAAATGAAACGCTTAAACGCTCAACAGTTTTGTTCTCTCTATGCAGGAACCCTGTTTGGAAAATGCATTTTATATCACAGGTCTAATTACAGACCCACAGATGAGAATTTTCTCTCCTCATGTTACAGTTTCTACATAGGTAACTTTTAAAAATCCATACAGACTCATAAAATATCCAAAAAAACCTCCTTGAACTACAAGATAATTCAAGAATTACCTCAACCCTTTCATATTTGCGTAATTCACCAGTACACTGGCTGCTTCTGGAGTGCAGTGACTCTCCTGAAGAACAAAGCGGCATGCATCTATAGGAGAGCTTGTGCAGGCCACTTCCACTCCTGGAGGACATGGTATATGTAACAATGTGTGGTCCCAACACTTATGCTGAAAATAAATTATTTCCCTTCCACTGTCTTAAAACTACCTTTTAAAAGTCCTTTTTACAATTATCTTAAGATTATAACTTCCTCCTGTCTTTTTTACCCTACCAAGACACTATATAAATCTTTTTTTCATTATGCCAAATAGTGTTGCTGCCCTTTTATAGTTTTTTTCAGCTGGAAGGTATAAACCACACTCAATGAGTTACTCAATGGATTGTTCTGTGTTTTCCACATAAAGTTTGCTGATGATAACATCAAATAAATAATGCCATACCTAAGCAGACAGCTACACAAACCATTACACTTGAACAGGAAGAAGTACACAATGAGTTTCAATGAAAAGAAGAGACCAGCAAGCTCACGCCACTCTCAGAAGAATGAACACGCCGTGATTTCTTGTGTGTGTGTATAGTTCAGCCTCCGAATGGCACCGATGTCCAGTTGACAAGACTAATGTCACACCGGTACAGGGGAGCTTGACATGTTGTGTCATGTGATGACATATTCTGCTGCAACTGTCTGATTTCACAAAGTGGTATCAGATTTTGCACTAAGCCGATATTACTACAGAATTGAAAACCCAGCTTCGCTGCCATTACTGCTAGGAGATGTCAGGAGCATAGGATGTTGAATTACTAAATACAGTGTTGATTTTACTGTTTTTCATATATGTCAAGTGAAATTTTCATTTTCTCTCAACATTTGAAAAAGGGAGGCTTTGAAGCTGGAGAAAGAGAAGGTAAACTTTTGTTTTGGTCAAAGTTCAGTATCTGTTGTTCTTAATAAATCAGACTGCATTTTAAACAGTTGCTTGCCAAGGGTGGAAAAGGGTATTGATATCCCTGTTGAGGGTCAAATAAACCTTTCAGGTACACATGGTAGACCGTGTGTTAGCACACATCTCTCTGTTATCCAGGAGTAACACAGAAAAAGAGTGTCTTTGAATAGAGGAAATGGTAGTATGGACCATAGTCAGCCCATGGACCAGATGTTTCTAACTCCCAGTCTGGGTTTTTATGTAAAATTCATTGAGACTAATGTGAATCTTTCTACCGACCCCGGAACAAGGTTCTAAACTTGGCTGCAATGGCTATTGATCGGTGAGCTAAACAAAAACATCTTATCTTCCCACATCTGAGGCAAACCTACTGATACTTTGTTCTAGAAGACAGTATTTTCAATGTTTTTTCTCAAGTCTGAGATTACCTTTATACGCCCTTATGAACATATTCTTTTAAAGTGCCTCTGATCATCATTTCATTAAACACAGGGTGACCTGGCAGATTAACAGTTCCCTGATTTCAAACAGGTGAGACATCATTTGTCAAAGTACACAACCTGTTCCCTTGATATCAGGCATCTATGTGAAAAACTAATTCCTAATCTGTTTGAAGGATATACTTCTGTCAACAGAACAACAGGCTGAAAACCTTACTTTTTCTTTTTGGTAACCGTTTAAAACTTATTCTATCAAAATCATGTATTTTTCTTTCCCTGGGGGACCAGTCTTCACCAATGGTTTTCAATAACGTATCAGGGAGTGACTAGGCTACTACTATGTGGTACTTAGATGAAAGGTGTCAGTTTGTCAACTGACTCAAGTATACACAAAGCTGTAGGGTTACGAGTCAAAAATGCTGGAAAACACAGGACTACAAGTGCTAGTCCCTGACCACTAAACTAAACCATATGTATTTACAATATTCCATGCATCATATCTTACCCCATCTCATTATCTGTCACATAAAAAGTGTCCCATAGAGTACTGTGAGCTTTATGAACTGTTAGATATTAGCAATGCTGTATGTAAATACTGCTGGGAACTTGCAGGAATCTCTCCACATTTTCAGAATGTTTCTCTGGCAGGAGAGAGATCACATAGCAACATTCATATTTGGACTCCATTCACTTGCACATTTGCCTGCATTTGCTGCTGAAGAAATGAATTACTGAAACAGAGAACACCTTTTCCAAGTCATTTTGAGAAGATTTTTCAAAAAGAAAATGAGACAAGAATGACTCTCATTTACAATCAACATTTACTCCAGAAGGGAAGAACCTTGAACAAATGAATTTGTAGCATGCCCAGATAGGTAAATGCACCTTTAAAATCAATTGTATTATTTTCTATATGTACCATTTCTAGGCAAAATGGAACTGCATTTGTTTGTTTGAAATCACTGAATAGCCGTCAATAAGCAGAGCTTCCACATCTCTCCAAAGAGTCCTTACCCCCTCCTGTCACCACCCCTCTTTTCAATAGTTTGGGCATTGTAGGTAGCTGCAAAGAGATCCTGCAAGCAGGGTACATACAACTTTGAAGCATAAAGCCCCATATTTGCCCATCTTCCATCTCCCAACTGCAAGGAAATTTTAAACTGGATACATGATTGGGCTGTAGCTTTACATGTCTTTAGAGAAGTCTGGTACAATGCTGTGTTGATCCTAATGAGTGAGTCTGGGCTTAAGCATGATGTGTTAACAATGACAATAACTGCTAAGTACTCAGAGCAAGGTTTTTTCCTCCATATACTGTCTTTGCTCTCCACAGAAAAGCTGCATCAGATTAAAAGAATGAAGGAACCTGGAACTGGACTGCATTTTTACAATTCCTGAAACAAAATGTACATGAGGGGTGCTGCTACTTCCCAGAAGGAGGTTCTTCAAATACATGGCAGATAAGGCACTTGCGGGCCAATATTCCCAAATAATGGAAGTATTACTCTAATTTGTTTCTATCTACCTGAATTTGGAAGGCAGAAGTCTGATGGATCAGACTTGGAAGAAAATCCCAGAAGACTAAGAAGAAAAAATATCAAATCTTGTGAAAACTTATGATAACTAAGGAATGTGGGGCCTGCAAAGATTTAGTATTCTGGTTTTTATTTTCACCCTTAGTGCAAAGGATTATTTGGCCCATAGAAAACTAAGAATATGTTTACTCTGCAGCTCTTCAATCGTGAAGAATGGAGCTGTAGCTGAGCAAGAGGAAGGAATATGATTCAAATTCTTCCTGCAAAAATTCAAGAGGTATGAAGGTCTACTTTTTGTGTCAAAGACAATACACTAAGAGGAGTGGAAAGCTCTCCAAAGATTTTGACCACTGAACTTGCTTGCCATAGATACCAAGGATAAGTTGAAAACTATCTAAGAATTTGACAGAGAGATATTCCAGTCAGAGAAATTGCATTTGTGCCTCCACGCTTATTCATGGAAGTGGCATCCAAAAATGCTGTTGCAGCAGGTCTAACAGTAATGAGTTCCCTTTTTTTAACTTGTTCCAGACACTGGACACCAAAACCACTAGAAGTACTTTATTATTCTTACATGTTGCTATAAAATATCATCTGATTTCAGTCTTCACATTTGGAGAAATATGGCAAAAGGGGAAATAATTCCATAAGTAAATTGCATTTAATTTCCAGGTGAGATAGTTCTTCACATAGCACAGCAGTGGTTTTCAAACTGTGGTCTGCAAACCAATGGTGAATCTTAGGAGACATGCTGGTGGTCCACAGACAGCTGGTCAAATGGTGCTGGCTCTTCGTCTTGTTTCCATTTGCTACGTTCTTCTAAAACACAGCTAACAATACATATATTAAATCTTGCCCTAATATTTTTCTTACATAAGCTGAATGGTATATAAGCCCATTGTAATCAGATTTTAATAGGAGTAGAGGAAAACCAAATAATATGGGCAGCAGTTTTCTTCCTTAGAAAGTGTCCTAGGATGTGCTTGCTTCATTCCTTGGATGTGGTGCCACGGGACTGAGCCGTGCTCATGAGCAGCTTCCACACTTAAGGAAAATGCTAGTTCTAAGTTGTAATATTCAGTTAAAAAACAAAGGTACAAAACCTTGATTTACAGTTTGGGGAACTTTAGGATGAATGTTTCTGAGAAAAATATTTTAATGAATTTAGGCTTCCTTATAGGCATTTTCTTGGGTGCAGTAGGGACTAGATTTCCAGCCATAGATATGACAAATGTTGCTCATGGTGGTGCATATTTATTCATACTCACTAACCAATGGCTTAACTTCGATGATATGAGCTAACTTACAGATAACTATATAGATCTATTTATACCTACTCAGTTTTTGCTGTATTTCCTAAAGCCTCTTGTAAAAATAATGTGTGTATTGCCTTCTAACGTACATAAATGTCCCTATAAAAATGCATCAGGTCTTCTAGCAAAACATTTTGACGAGTACAGAGGTAAAATGTCTCTGTGAGAGAAAGGTACTTTACTACTAATTACCCTGACAATGAGAATTATAATTTTGGCTCACTAATACACCTAGTTTTTTTCCTGTGTTGATTTCATATTTTTCATTTTAACCAACAAATTGCTTCCTGATTTGAATTTTAGTAAAGTAATTGGTGCCTGATAAAGAAAAAAAAACCTTCCTAATTTTTTAAAAGATAGTACTCTGGCAGTCTTATACATTGGCTAAGATGTTATTAACACTC